ACTATTAACTATTAAGAGATATAATAACCTAATGTACTTAGTATAACACCCTATATATTCTATAAACATAAACCTAGTACGGACTAGTTTACTTGTTTAGAAACCCTAACCGTCACACTAGGGGCTAAAGCCTCTTTTAAAACCCGAACTTTACCGCAGTAGGTATGCTATCGACTCGGACAGGACTCCATCGCTTTCACTAACAGCATGTTCCAGAAACCAGATATAGTGAGCAAGGTACGTTGAAGCATTTCTTTGGGGCTTTCCCCGGCCTGGTTTCCTAATGTGCTGGTGGATGTTGGGGCTTAGAAGGTGCGAATCCATGGCTTCTTCTTCGACGTATGCTGTGCTGTCCTTCTCTACGATACGTTGTCTCACCCCTCGAAGTATACATTCAGCCTGGAGTATATCCAAACATCTCTTCGATGCCTGAATGCTATGGTTCACGACGAGCCCATGACGACAGCAGCGAGTTCAATCGAGGAGATGTTGAAGGCAGTCGAGATGTCCATCGGGCAGCAGCACAACACCTACCATTTCCCTTATCTAGAGCAGGATGCCCTCGCAACGCCAGCATCTTCTTGCAGCCCGAGCACTCAGCCCGAGGGACGTCCACTCCACCGCGTCGACACGCGCTGACATCCGATGGGCAAAGACGACATGATACTATTTAGCGACCGTTCTTCATCCCTTCACCAGCCTGGCAGCGACCCAGCTCTGAAGCTTCACGGGTTTCCCATGACGGACTCTGGGGCTATTGAGCACGAGGGAGTGGAACAGCCGCTTGATTTCTTCTCTAATTTTAACCTTGATGTCTTTACAACCGATTTGCTCAATTTCTTCCCTGTTGGCATCACAACACCAGAGGGCGGCGCTACGCCTATGGCTAGAAGGGAGTGATTAGATTACTGATATAAATAAATAATTATATTAGTAACAAGTTAGCTGCTTTCTTTATAATTTAATATTAACTATAGCTTTTAATAGTTATTAAATTATAAAAAAGTCTTTTAAAATATAAATCCTCTTAACCAGAATGAAAACAGAAATAAGTTAATATTATACTTTAGTCTCTATCTACTAAGTCTGAGGGAAAAAAAAGACAATTAAGGATATTAAAGTATATATTAATTATACCTTTAAGAAGCTGCCCACAACCTTATGTCACAGTTACAGATTCAGTCAAATTACCGAAACCAGATATTACAGCAACATCAAAGTATATTCGGGCTAGCACACTTTACGTCACTTCCTAGATAACTCGCGCGTCTAAGTTTTTAAAAAATCTCCCCCTTTACGTCTCTGTAATGCCGCCTGTAGTTCCGTCTGTATTTCCGCCTGACATATTGATTCTTATCCTTTTTAGCTAGTATATGCAGTAGTAACCACTCGGTGTCTGAGTTTGTGGCTCATAACTTTCAGTATATCCGTAAACCCGCTCTAGTGGATTCACACGGGCCGTTCGGACCCCTCGTGGAATGTCACTGCAAAGAGATGCTGATACCTAGGTATTATTACTTATTCCATAAGAGTTTATAAAGAGATGGTGTGTCTGAGGTTTTGTTTTCTTATTTTCGCTTTGCTTTAGGATTCATCCTATATTTAACTGATCTTTATTAATTATGGATGCATCTGACAGCGAAAGGACTGTTTACGGCCTTCAGGATAACCAACAAGAAGCACAGAAGCGACTCACCGTGTCCTTTCAAGATGTCGGCGTAGATGTTCACGGCCTGGGTGAGGACTTCGCCTCGACATGCACCTCCGTCATCACCGACTGGAAATCCTTCAAGGAGCATACCTCCAAGCGGGTAGGTGTCTTGACAGGCCCCTCTAGACTGGGCAAAGATATTGACACACGATGTAGTCTATTCTTCAGGGAATCTCGGGTCAAGTTCGTCCAGGCGAGATGGTAAGCTGCCACCAATCTCATATGTATACTTGCAAGGCTTTTTTCTCTGACGACCTCTTGTCTTTAGCTCCTTATCCTTGGAAGGCCTGGCTCCGGCTGCACGTCGCTACTCAAGGTTATCGCCAATCACGTCCATGAGTTCCCTGTGGTTAGAGGTCAGGTTCGATGCGGCAACGTGGGTCCGCACTAAGCAAAGGAGTTCCGGCAACACATTGTCATGAACACTGAAGGTTTGAAGAAATAAGTGAAGCAGAGTTCAGTAGGCCATTTTGCTGACGTATAATAACTTAGAGGACGAACACTTTCCAACTCTCACAGTCAGACAGACTATAGGCTTCGCCACAGCCACCAAGCTTCCTGGAACGCGGCCGGAACACCTACAGGACAAGAGTGCGTATGCCTCACAAACAACCGACGCGATCCTCTCGTCCCTCGCCATCAGCCATACCAAGGACACCATGGTTGGCAATGAATTCATCAGGGGTGTTTCGGGTGGTGAGCGAAAGAGAGTGTCAGTGGCCGAGGTCATGGCTACGCAGGTAAGCAAGAAGCTTGTCCAGCCATTTTTCACTCCTAAAACGTACGTTTGCAACTAACAAACTCACCACAAGGCGCCGGTGCAGTGTTGGGACAACTCTAGAAGAGGTCTGGACGCCAGTGGCGCCCTGGACTTTGTGCTCGTCCTGCGGCGATCAGCGGACGAAGAGCACAAGACCATTATTGCAATATTATATCAGGCAGGCAATGGTATCGTCGATCTTTTCGACAAAGTACTGGTGCTCTCTGAGGGCCGGGAGATTTACTACGGTCCTGCCACTGATGCGCGCAAATACTTTGAGGATATGGGATTCGTGTACGCTCCCGGGGCCAACGTCGCCGACTTCCTCACCGCAGTCGCTGTGCCCACTGAACGGACGATTGCTCCGGGCCGCGAGGACCCGGTACCAAACACAGCAGAGGAGCTTGAGGCTCGTTACAGATCGAGCCGGCATTTCAAGGACATGATGGGGCGGATGGCATCGACCCGTGAGGATGTACTGGCTCGCGAGGTCGACGACTTGAAGGCCATCCGAGAACTGGAGAAGAACCGCACATTCGGTTTCTTGTCACGGGTTGGGAGTCTATATCACGCTTCCTTCTACAAGCAGGTAATGGCGTTGACGAAGAGGTGTGTCTAGTTTAATTCATCAACTCAAGTTCCAGGACTAACTTCAAGACAGACAGTTTGAGATCCTTTGGGGCGATCGTTGGTCCAATGCTCTGCAGCTCGCCTCTTCCATCGCAATGGCCCTTGTAGTAGGTAGTGTGAACTACAACCTACCAAGCACCAGCCAGTCCATCTTCACGCGGCCTGGTGCTCTCTTCTTTCCGATCATGCTGTGGGCTATGAACATGATGTCTGAGACAGTCGCCTCGTTCATGGGACGGCCTATCCTGACCAGGCACAAGCGAATGGCTTTCAACCGTCCGGCCGCCTACGCCGTGGCCTGCATCCTCACGGATATACCTGTCGTGTGCTTCATGTATAGCCTTTTTGAGCTGGTACTTTATGGTCGGATTCCAGAGAGGTTCCGCTGGTAATTTCTTTACACTATGATTTGTGTACTTCCTCAACACACTCTGCTTCACTTCCTTGTATAGAATCATCGGCGCCTGGTGCAGGCATTTTGGCTTAGCCTCGCAGCTGAGCGGTTTCGTGACCATGTTGACAATGGTCTATGCTGGTAAGTTCTGGCCAATGTTTATTATCCGTGGTCGCAGTTATACTCACACAGCATTGTAGGTTATCTAATCCCAACTACAAGTATGCATCCATGGTTCCGCTGGATCGCCTGGATCAACCCAGCCTCGTACGCGTTCGAGGCAGTGCTCGCCAGTGAGATAGGTAGTCGTACCATGGACTGCGTCGCGCCTCAGCTAGTCCCGTACGGTCCTACTTACGAAGGAAATACGCATCGCAGCTGCACTGTTCAGGGATCCCCGCAAGGAGACTCGATGATCATCGGAGAGGAGTACATTGAGTTCAGGTATGGAGCCACATCGGGCCACATATGGAGGAATGTAGGCATCCTTATTACTTTCTGGATCTTCTTTGCCATCTTGGCTGCTATCGCTTTTGAAGTTAACCTTTACAGTGGTTCCAGCTCCAAGATCCTATACAGCCGTCGGCAATACAAAGCACAGCTCAAGGAGGCCGACGACGTCGAGAAAGCCCAGAACAAGAACAATCCCGACGAGGTAGACACCATCTCTGCCAGCTCCACAGTCTTCACCTTCAAGGACATCAGTTATTTTGTGCACCATGAAGGTCAAGAGAAGCAGCTGTTGCAGAATATCTCTGGCTATGTCAAGCCGGGCCAGTTGGTGGCACTGACGGGAAGTTCCGGCGCTGGGAAAACCACACTCATGGATGTCCTTGCGCAGAGAAAAGACAGCGGCCGCGTAGAGGGCAGCATCATGGTCAACGGCAAGCCACAGGGCATCATCCTTCAGCGAACTACGGGATGCTGTGAGCAGAACGACGTTCACGAACCAACCGCCACGGTTTTGGAAGCCCTGCTGTTCTCAGCCCGTCTCCGACAGCCCAAAAGCGTCCCGGACTTTGAGAAGCAGGAGCATGTCCGGCGTATCATGAATGTGTTAGAGCTTACCGTTTTGCAACACGCTGTTATTGGAATCCCTGGTGAGGGATTGTCTATCGAACAACGCAAGAGGCTGACTCTGGCTGTCGAGCTCGTCGCGAAGCCCTCCCTGCTGTTCCTGAACGAAACTACGTCTGGCCTCGATGGCCAGTCCGCTTACCAGATCTGTCGATTCATGCGGAAGCTGGCGGCCTCGGGCCAGACCGTTATCTGCACAATCCACCAGCCCTCTGCAACTCTGTTTGACAACTTTGACGTCCTTCTGCTGCTGGCAAAGGGAGGGAAAACCACTTACTTCGGTCCCACCGGTGAGAACTCGGCTATCCTGCTAGACTATTTCGCTCGCCACGGCGCTCCCTGTGAGCCAGGCATGAACCCAGCAGAGCACATTGTCGACGTCGTCCAGGGGCGATATGGAACGGGTATTGACTGGCCGCAGAAATGGCTCGATTCGGAGGAGTTCAGCCAGACCATGGCCGAGCTGAGAGCCCTCAATGCCTCGGCTTCAGCAGGGGACGCCGATCACACTGCCACTGACCAAGAAGAAGAAGACGTGAATGATTTTCCCAACCCTGTCCTCTACCAGATCCGCTTGGTCACCCAACGTCAATTGGTGGCTCTCTGGCGGAATCCAGATTATGTTTGGAACAAGATGAGTCTACATGTCACTAACGCTCTGGTTGGCGGCTTTACGTTCTGGCAGATCAGCAACGGTTCCTTCGACTTACAGCTCCGACTCATGGCGATCTTCAACTTCGTCTTTGTCGCTCCTGGGTGCATCAACCAGCTCCAGCCCTTTTTCATCCGCAATAGGGACCTGTTCGAGACCCTTGAGAAGAAGTCCAAGACATACCACTGGCTCGCCTTTGTCTCGGCACAGCTCATGTCTGAGATTCCTATCTTGATCACCTGTGCCACGGTTTACTTTGCCTGCTGGTACTTCACTGCCGGGTTCCCAGTCAAAGCAAGCGCATCTGGCCAGGTTTATTTCCAGATGATATGTAAGTGCCATCCACCGTCATCTTGATGCTCCGACTAAATTAATTGACTTGGCAGTATACGAGTTCCTTTATACCTCGATTGGTCAAGTAAGTCCCCAAAATGTCAAGCTGTCAACAAAACAAATCCACTAACTTGAGCGCTTGCAGGCTATCGCTGCTTACTCTCCAAATGAATACTTCGCCGCACTCGCCAACCCACTCATCATTGGTGCTGGCCTCATAAGCTTCTGCGGCGTCGTTGTCCCATACTCATTGATACCGACTTTTTGGCGCTACTGGCTCTACTGGCTGGATCCATTCACGTACCTGATCGGTGGTCTCTTGGAGCCTGTTGTCTGGGACGTCAAAGTCCAGTGCAAGCCTGAGGAGCTGACTTCCATCCCGCTGCCGGACAACACCACCTGTGGCGACTAAATGGCTGATTTCTTGTCCGGCAATGCCGGGTATGTGGTCGATGCAGGCAGCACAAGCTCGTGTGATTACTGTGCCTATAGCACCGGGGCCGACTACATGAAGAGCATGAACATTAATGCAAGCTACTACGGATGGGGAGATGTAGGTGTCTTTTTCATATGTTCTTTTGTGATTTTCGTTGCTGACAATGTTATTTATAGGTTGGAATCACGGCGTTGTTCTGTATCAGCTCTTTTGCGCTTGTCTTTTTGATGATGAAGTTAAGAACTAGAGCAACAAAGACTGCAAATTAAGACTGAGCTAAAGGCAATGTATTCTTTTATTTATTAGACTGTATATATTAAGTATTAGCCAGCAGTAGTTAGAACGGCTTGGGGGTTTATATTAGATAGTATTTGTTATTTGCAGTTAAGACTTATAGCTCAGAGCTTATTCCAGCAGACAGAACTTGGTTCTTAAAGCCTGCGATGGTGGAAGTGCCCTCCACACAATCAGTGCATGGCATGAATGCTAAGGGACCGAAGGACACAAGTAACTTAAGCCAGGCTCAGGATACTTGTTAATTAATTTATCATGATGTTATCTTTTAAAGTATAAATGTTCTCACTATCCGTGGGTATAATACCACCAAAGACCGTATCGCGAGGGTCAATCAAGCCTGAAAGTGCCGACGGATCTCAGACGCAGCGACATCCAACGACAAAATCCTCCCGTCTTGTCCTGTCTTGGTCTCCTTGTGCGATCGCGGCGGCAGATGGACTTCTTATGCACTATCACCACGCGATATCACGTTCATCTCGTTACGGGCACCAACTTCTCCATCTACACTGCATCCATGTCCTTATCCACGGCGTACACCATCACACGCCGCGTATCCGCGTGGCGCAAAATGTCACTTTCTCACTCTATCTCCTCCGTCCCGGCCTTTGCGTCCTCCACTGTAGTATCCCTCCAACCCTCCACTGCCCCCACCCGTAAGAGGACTGAGTTCCAGCTCGTCTATTACCGGTGATACTGTTGAGCGTTGGTGTGACTAGAAGCTGAGAATCACTAGCTTCCTTGCCCATTTCCTGCATGGCGCCTGTGGAGGCTAGGTGAATATGGCGAGGGCGATTTTGGAGCTAGAGTAACGTGTTTTCCGTTGAATGTGGTGTTGGGGTTCAATTAAGACCTGCTCGGGGAATCCACTCGGATAGCCTGTGATCTCCCGCTGTCGCTCTGTCGTCGGCTGGGAGCCGACAGGTTGGAGGTAGGACTCGTAGCTTGCTGGGATCTATCGATGGCTTCTCGAATGGAAGGCTTGGGGTGCATTCATCGTCTTGGTGTTGTTAGCTGTTGTGATGCCTTAGAGTTGAAGGATGAGTCGAGACGATGGATACACCCCAAGCAGTCCATCCAGGCAATGCCCGCAAGTCGGTGGCGGCGGATTGAAGGTTGAAGGGTTAGGTGGTGTTTGCGGGCTGTGCCTGGGATAGACTGGGCGCCTCGAATGTCGTCGGCGAGTAGCTATTGAGACACAGTCAGTGGACTGGAGATGTGTACCCTGATCCAAAGACTTGTCTTACATCTGGAATATCAGCGATATGATAGAGCCCGGGGTTGTTGTGTCGTCTCTTCTTGCTGCGAGATCTCGAGACCTGCGACCGATTCGTTCCTTGCATTGTAGTTCGAGCAGTTTCGGGCACCTTTATAGATCCTCCTCGGTATCTAGACGTGGGCTGTAGTTGCCGGGGCATCGCCCGAACCGTACGGTGATCATGGAACTGATCAAAGGCATCGCCCTTGCATCAGGCGTGGGAAGCCGGGGGGGATGTAGAGGGGGGAAGCGGATTGCCTGCAGGCTTCGACCATGGGAGTGCTGATCGGACGTGATGTGTGTTTGAGAGGCTCGTTGGCGGACCGTCCTCATTCTCTAAGAGTTTCACTTGCCTACGGATGTTGGGACTCGGGGACCAAGGTAAGATCAAAGCTCTGTTCGGGTCTTGAGGCTCGAGCGAGCGGCAATACTTCTCGAGCGCGACGTACAGAAGTCGAGGCGCTCCGGCCGTTTGAGTCGGGGCATCTGCCGAGGCTGGCGTCAATGCTGGTCGAGGCCTCGTGGTTGTGGAGGACAGGGCATGTCGAGTTTCTCTTTTCCAAGGTTTGGATGCGGCTGTTGTAGCGTCCGTCAATCGTTGGGCGGGACGTCCGCAGTTTCGGCGCCTGGGCAAGGCATGGTTCAATCAATTCGACAAGCTGACCTGCGTCCTTGTTTTCTTTCCCAGTTAGCGTCGCGGCCATATCTCACAGTCGCTTCAGTGGCTACAGCGGAGGGGGGTGATGGGGCAATGTTGTGACGCTGGAGGAGGGAACTCGGTACCGTCATCCAGACTGTGCGGAGAACGAGGCTTGGGAGTTCGAGAGGGGGAATTCCCGTGAGTGACGCGGGTAAACGAGATGAAATTTGATGGAAGGGAAAACAGATTGTTCGAGTCGTGTTGTTGGTGATGAAAGAGGGAAAACTTGGTGTTGAAGGAGGGGTCACCTACGTCGCGTCGTGGATTTCCAAGAGTGCCGTGCATGAACGAGGGGCAAATGAGCCAGAATTTGATGAAAGCGAGGGCTGATTGATGGGAATGCGTAGTTTGCTGATGAGATGATCGCGGGAGAATTTGGCGTTGACGAAGGATGGGGTTAATGAACGAGACGAGGCCAGAGACAAGACGCGTTGACGCGGAAGGCTCCAGCTTGCTCCCGCGCGATTGCTCGTCGTTCATCTACAGGGGATCCCAGCCCCACCAAGCGCACTGGAAGCCCCTATCAATTGCTCCCGCGACAGGATACTCACTAAAGATGCTCTGTAATTTAGCTGCTCCCATTGTGGTCAGTACCCTGCGAGAAAGTTCCTTGAGCCCGCACATCAAACTGACTGACTTTTTTACGACATGCAGCAATGGAATGGCTCATTGCAATCATGAGGTACCAGTTGCGAAAGTCCCACTTATATATACTAAATGGAAATTTGCCTTGGAAATAAATAGGCCATTCAACGCAATTACTAAGGTAATCCGATTTGGTCTTTGAATTCTTGACCGTTGTTGTGAGACGCCATAACCGCTTCCAAACGGTCAACGCGGTCAACGGCTCAACCAAAATTCCGTGCCTTAAGATCACAACCGCCGAACCTTATCAGACGCGTTCAGCCACTAAATGCTCCGCGCCGATAATTCAGCAAGATATTATATTTGAAGTCAGATCGGCAGGATCGTGTGTAATGGAGAAGAAGAACAGTCTTGAGATTTGTAACAAGAAAATGGGTCATTACTGGCGCGAACTCTAAGCCTAGCTAAGTCCCCCGTCTGGCAATGTAAATAATGCAATATCCAGGACATAGCCAACCCCGAAGACGCACACCGGCGAAACCGTGGGTCTTCTGCATACCTACTCACGATTATATATGGGTTGATCGTTTTCTTTCACATGCCTGAACTTTTGAACCGCGTGGAAGAATCTTCAGCCAAAGAGATGCCCTACCCTAGGGCGTAGGCATGAAAGAGTTCAAGTCAGCGTATTCCTATAGCGGGACACCAGTCTCGGTAGAGTTTTGCTTCTAGATTTGCATATGAGGACTGCCAATTTGGAAAGTTGTAAGCCGATAATGGCTATAGCTGATGTCTCCAATACTGCTAGGGATGGGTGTCCATTCAATACATCTTAATCAAGGATGTGAAGGTCTGGCCGACTTTTCTAGGTCTCAAACCATCTAAGCGATTATCATCGATGTTCAATTGATGTTTGGAGCTATTGCCTGTTTTATGATGTATCATTGTAGGTCTGATTGAAGTTATTGGTCTTTTCGTTGTTGCGTACCTTCTCCCGCCTTGTCCTGTGCCCAGGGATCGCCTTTACTTAACATGATAAAGGAACTGCACTTGCTTAACTCCTTGACTACAATACTGGATTATCTCGAACGCTGTACTGCGCTTTGTTGGTCAAAAAAGTCCTGTCTCTTGTTACAATTGTCGGTCGTCTCTCACTGGTCGGATATTTCCTCAGTACTCATGATGGAAGGCCTGAGAAACAGCGCAAGACCTCGTTAGTTCATGAACCGCCTCTGAAAAGAAGAAGGATAATCTGCAGAGCATTTCTCTCATATAGCTATAGTGTTTCTTAGTATGCTAGTCCAGATAGGCTGTATACTATTGCGTCAATTTGTACAGGAGATTTAAGAAGGTAGACTCTGTGATCACTACCGTCAGTTTCACCTTCTTACATGATTTGGTAGAGGAATCTACCGACTATTGAAATTTTTCTATAGTCTCAGGGGAATTATTTTCAGAAAACCTCCTTTTTATAGTGTGTCAGAAGAGATCTCAGTGCATAGGGCAAGAAAGCTTGGTATTTGAAGCTATCGTGACCAAAGGCCAGATGTCTACTGACGGACTTGAGCAATACGGCTTTCACATGCACGGAAATCAGTTCTGATTCATTTGCTATTAAGTGAATCCTGCAATCGCTGTCGCAAACCATTCTGGATACTGCTCCTGGAAGTCATCCCCCCGGGTGATACCGAGGTAAATTGGCTGGACAGTAGGAGCGATATTGATTGAGATAACAATAACTATGGATGACGGCGGCCTATAAGGTTAAGCCTTAGGCTGAAATAAAATACTTGAAAACTCTTGCATGGCGATGAGGGCTGAAGGGTGAGCCCTGGGCCAACGTTGTGATGCGTTGCGGTCGCAGTGTTGAGATATCGAACCGAATGAGCCTACCCAATCCACCACCACGTTCCCAGCCACAAATCATTTCGAGACATGAGGGGAAAATGGCTCCAGCAGGTTCTCATTTAGCCAAGACTAATAGTCTATCCCAGATTATCTTCATTCATCGCAATCCTCGGACAAATGATTGTATCTTAAGATCATGCCGTCAGCTGGCACGCTATTCAGTTGCCTGTCGCGCCGCTTCTCCAGAGCATTTTGGAGACAGTAAAAAGCGATTGGGCTACAGGAGTGAACAGATATCTGGAGCAGAAGATCCATGAGAAATTACTCGGAAGTCTCTGTACAAACGCCTTCTCTTCTCTTGACGGCATGCAAACAATGCGAGATAAGATGAGGCAACGCGCACAGGGTGTAGCGTCTCGCAGCCAGCTTTACATTACTGCTCTCTTGCCTCAAGTGCCTCTCACTTCGCACAAAGTTCAGTATACTCTATTGTCCCTGGCTGAGGTCGTATGAAAATAGTAAAGTTAATATCTTAAATCGTGTTTCCGCAAAAATGCAATCAGGACAATGTAAGACAGGTCTTGAAGTACAAGTGGAGATAGCAGTAAATATATATTGAAAATTGAGAAGGGTATCTACTCTAACAACACGTGAACTATTTAAAATGGTCTACGGAGACTCGAAACTGTTGTTTTATCCATATTCTTACAGGTAAGTGGAAAATCAATCAGCCAGTAATTGGCGAGCCAGTTCGAAATCCATATTTTTGCGAATGACGGGGTAAGCAGACAACCATAAGGACCGCATCTATAGAATAATGAATTAGCCAGGTGTCTCAAACAAATAGCAGCATATCAGCCTGAACCCAGACAATATTGCCAATGCTTACTCTTTGTTATTCCAGAAATGTTCCATCAGTATTCTCATTCGTCGAACAATCGAGTCTAGAAGTATGCGGTTGTAGTCTTTCCATTCTTTCTGAAGATTGGGGATCGTGACGCCAGCACCGTTGGTCGCGTACCAGGTGTCGAAATCACCCATATGGTCATAGATGGCTTCGTAGACGGCGCAGTACTTATCCCATACTTCTTGGTTGTTAAGATAATTGAAAACCAGTCCTGATATAAGCTATTAGCAAATCATGGATTGCTGACCACAGCTCTCTAAGAAGCCGGACAAAGCTTGGTGAGGGACTGGGAGGGGACGCCTACCGATATCTTTGACCGATTGGAGTTGCTCATCGGACGACATGCCGTCGTATTTGTCAGGATCAGTGGGATGAACTCCGGTGAACATCTAAATATCCAAATTAGCCGGTGTTAAAAGATGCAAAGAGAAGGAAACTGTTCACTTACATTTCCTTTCTTCCGATTGGGCCTGGCTAGGAAAACAGTCAATCTGTCAAGATGCGATGCGCTACCCAGCTCTGAAAGTAATACTTCTGCAAAAGAAGCGAGTCTTATCTTGGGTCTTTGGGCTACTTTGATCTTCCAGTTCGGGTTGGTCTTTTTGTTCCTGACCCATTCGCGTGTCCAACTACAGGGGACTTTAGGCTGCGGGTTTGTAGGCATGGGTTCCTGGTTGCGAACGCGACCTTTATCAAGCCAGTAATTAAAGAAGTCTCCGATCACCTGGCCCTCGAATACGTGCTCAGCTGCTCTGTGTTAGCCCAATATTCTCTAGTCCATCAGCAGCATTGGTAACTTACTCTGGTAATCGGCTCGGACCTGTGCAACGACGCCTGTAACCTTATCCTTCGCCCAAACTTTGTCGGCATTAGATAAACCTTTAACTCCCCACCAGTGGCAGAAATGGGAGGTATTTCCCCAATATCGAGAGACGGAATCCCATTTCCCTTTCTGAATCCCCTCCCAGGGATTGAGGGGGTCACCAGGGAATGCTGGGTACTGGTAAGGGGATCGAAGTCCCTCCTTGTCGTTGGTGGTATCAGGACACACACTTACTTCCTTGGTAAACATGGTAGCCGATCCAAACTTTCGACGATGCAACTTGTGTGCAGGGTACGCGGGTATGGGCAGGGCCTCCGTATCATGGTTTTCTTCGTCTTCACCTCGAGCATGGTTTACCTTCAGGGTGCCCAGGTACCTGTTGACATTGGTCCGCCAATCTGGGAACTCGCCGAGGCTATCGCAATCAGGACAAGGTGGAATGTCTGAAAACCCCCACTTCTGTTGCATATTAACACAACCACAGCACAGATCGCTTGACTCCTCGCCGAAGTCACGACAACCTTCGCAGTTGACGCAGTTCAGTTTTGGCTGACCATTGCCCATTTCCCCATCTAGGCCAATGTTGCCCTTGGTTATGGTTACACCTGGAAGTATATCCCAGCCATACATTTGTTTGGATTATCGGCGAGCAAGAGACATCAGGCGTGTTTCGTCTTCTGCTGCATCAGATAGAAGAGTCTCGTTAAAGTCTGGGTCAGAGGACAAGGGATTTGGCGTGCGCTCAGACCTGGAAGCAGTAGAAATATCGGCGTTTTTGAAGCATTGCGCTCCATTTTCTGGCGTTTGCTATAGGAGTGTGAGAAAACAGTAGGTAAAAAACAGGAAAATATAACTTACCGTCTCTGAAACAAGACGAGCAGAGCCCTCTAGCGCGTCCCAGCCGATGGACTCCCTACACCAAAAGAGACTAGATTAGACCTGAATAGAGAAAGACCAAAACGCATGTCGTTCAGGGACTTACGCATTGTTTGCCAATTGGAGGATATCGGTCCTAACAGTCGTTAGATCAAAATATGTTCCGCACCGGGTATGGAACTTACGAGAGTTCGTACTTGGCGCACGACTCATCCGAACTTTTCTTACTCGGGCCGAAGGTGAAAGTTGATAAGGTGCTGTAGGAGAGGGAGAGCTGAGGCAATGTCAGAGGCGCTAACTCCTGCTTGTGAGAAGATGGAACGAAACGCTTCCACTTACATTTGGCAATCCACTTTCGACATGGAATAGGTCTCTGTACAGGAAAAACTCGATGTTGAGGCCAAAGGTAACCTGACTGCCGATTGTAATAGCGCCACCGTTTTCAGGAGAGCCGTAAAGCACATTGTTGCTACCCAACTCGAACTGGTCTTTCTTGCGCTTGTTCCCAAACTTATCCGGGTCATTGTGGTCGTCCTTGACAGGAAAGTCCGCCTGTAACTTTCCAAAGTCAGAGACAACACGAGCGCTCAGACGTCCGTTGAAAGATGCAGCGGGGTTTTCGTTGTCGCGGTCAGTACCGTTGAATGTAGCAAGATGGTAAGTAACATCGTAGTACGGCTGGAATGAAGCCAAGCCACTGGTATGACCTGCATTGATAACATGGCCATCAAGATTGACTCTGCTGTCTTTGTCCAAAGTGGCAGGTTTTCCCTTGCCTGCTTTCGTAACATCAACGGTACCGATACCGCCAAAACCGAAGGTCATGTCGCTCTGGCCTCGGACTTGGAGAAATCCATGAGATTGTTTGGCGTCCCAGGATCCGCCTTTTTCTGTTCCCTGTACCAGAGTCAGACGCTTATTCGCTAACTCACAGAGGCAGAGGGTACTGAACTTACAATTAAAGAGAATCCGTAGTAGAAGGAAGCATCAATTTCGCCATTGACATAAGCACCGAAGCCTTCGCTATAATCGGTTCCATTGATGGCGCACCCATCAACAGTCTGCCAGTAAAGCGGTGCACTCAAATCCTTCTTGATCTTGGTTGCAGATCCCGGGTCAAACTTGAACTTGTCTGTGTCGTCGTAGACAGAGTTCCATTCAAGGTCAGATGGTGCAAAGAATCGCTCGTCGAGATGCTGTAAATCTCGAGACTGGATACCAGGACGATCGACTAGCTGGTCCCAGTACCCAGGAGTGTTGGAGTAGTCCATGCGGATGCTGGTGTTGTTGGAGTCCCGGCGCATGAGCTTGAAGTTGAAATCGAAGGAAAAGTCGAAAACCTGGGAAAAGCGTTGGTGATGCGAGAATGCCTCGGGAATAGATTGGTCTGCGCTACATTAGATGACTGGAACGGATAGCAACGGGCGAAGTCCTTACTTTTGGATGCCGTGAGAGAGATGGCCCGAACAAGCTGGTTTGGAGCGCACTACATAAAGTGGGTAAGTCTTGTTTTTCCAAAGAAGATGATGTTGATACATACGCTATCAGGCATCTCGACAATAGTTCCCTCGACGCCACGCTCCATGATCTGGTAGCACCCTTCCAGATCGCCACTAACACACGTAACACGCGCAGTACGGGCAGCATCTTTGGGAAGATCGAGGATATCCTCGGGACAGTCAAGGAAGACAAACGGCTCGGGCTGGCCGTCTCGTTTGCGGAGGCTGCTGACGACATGTGAATCACCCGCCAAAAGAAGGAAGCCAAAGGCGGATGAGGTAGGATCAGTTCCGTCAGAACCTCCAAATGTTACCAAACCGTACGATGGCTTGCTTCCAGAGGCAGGGAGATACTGCTTGGGGAACAGCTTATCCAAGTCGACTAGGTCAAAGCCGCTGTCTACACTGTCGAGCAAGGAAGGATCTGACACAGCGCGGAGCGACTCAAGGCTGCTATCGTCGAGGTCGATAGCCCAGATCATAACTCCAGACAGTCCTATCTTATTGGCATAGTCGATCTTGGCCTGGATAGTTGACGGATCATCATAGCTAGCGAAGCGTTAGTGATTTAGGCATTTGCTGGGACTGGGTACTCACGAAATCCAGCTGTCCCCAGCGTAGACCAGATATCGCGCAGCTGCCTCTTTGTCAAGGTATGAAGTGGCGCCAGTGCTTCTCAAGATATCCTTGACCTCTAGATTCCATTGTCTTAGCTTGTTCCAACAAATTCATTTGCAGATCTGGCCTCCCCTACCTTTGTAGGACAGGATTCCTGCCGTATTGGTACAAGGTCCCGCAGCGCCGGGACCAGTAAAGGCGCAGCCTGGCTTCCAACACGAGCTTGAAGCGAGAGTAAACGATCGGCCGTAGAAGCCCAAGCCCAAAACAATGCTTGAAGGTTTTACATCAACGCGCCAGAACTGTCATCAATCAGCGATGATTTGCGGGTAGGCGATTCTTGGCAGCAACACTTACCAGATCTAGAGCAAGGTCGATCTCCGTCAAGTTAGTATGGGAGAGAATATGTTTGCCAATTGGGTTATCTCCATCCCAAACACCATGAAGATCATATGACATGCATGAGGTTGATCCAATCAACATGCTCTGACATGTTCTTGATATCGAAATGGCGAAGGTACCAGTAAGAGGTAGGGGCTGTGAAAGTTGAGATATAATCTCGTCCGCTCGCAGCAAAAGCCTCACGAAGCTCTTTGAGAAGTGCAGTATAGTTATCTCCATCCTTGTCAGAGCCACCACGGTCCTTGGCTCCGGGATACTCCCAATCTATGCTAAGTTAGTAACGCTATGTAAATCATACCTATGCCCTCAAAACAAGGCGTGGCAGTAAAGTAGCTGAGACGTACCGAAGTCTGACGAGACAAGTAGAATTAGCAAAACAAGATATGTCAGGAAGAAACTGAACAATTGACTTACCAACCCCATCATAACCGTATTCTGACAAGAACCCCAAGAGGTTACGGATAAATGTTGCACGATTCGCTTGACTGGATACCATGGTGGGAAATACGCTTTGCCAAGGGCCGGGATCATTAAAAGTCCAGCCTCCCAATGCAATCATGATCTTCAGCCCCGGGTTCCGGGCCTTCAGTTCACCAACGTTCCTATAAACATCTGAACTCAGACCATCCATGTTTGTGACACGAAAATTCGAGTCGATGTATCCAAAAGATACAATAAGATGCGTGAGGTAGTTCACAGGGATTGAACCAATACCCATCTTACCGCACGCATGCTGATCGTTCCATGCTTCCCAATAACCAACTACACGTTTCCGAACGTTTGTAGGTGATGACTGGGGCTTAGGCTGGCTGCAGTTCGATTGGCAAGACTTACCACAGAACTCTGAAGTAGTTCCACAGAAGCCATACTGAGAGCAACATACATTCAGAGGGCAGGTCTGGCCTGGCTTAGCAGCGTTGACACCACAGTCAGCTTTGGCGTCACAGTGAGATTGACAGCCTTTGCCGCAGTACTTGTCTCCAAAGCCGCACCAGCCATCCTTACCACAACAAGCCTTGTTGGAGCAGGGCTTGTCTGGACCGCAGCTGAAATCTCCAGAGCCAGAGGCACCGGCGGCTGCGCTCTGCTCTCGTGGCACAAGAGATCTGGAAAAGATAGACTCAACATTCTCTACGTCAACTGACGCGCAGAGAATGGGAAAGATAACAAGATTGAGTGCAAAAAAGAAAAGATAGACAAGGAGTGCTGGCAGCTTCCTGGAAGCTGCCATGGTGAAAAAAGGAAACTAGTTATGACGAGCGAGTGTTTACAGTTGTTTTCGTGAACAATTCAATCCAAGAAGAAGGAGGAATCATATAGAAACCTCGAGCAAAGATTGAGTTCCTAAATCAACATCTTGCTAGCTAGACGTCCTTAGGCAAATGTCAGACCATCCGGCGCGCTCCTTCAGCATCGGATAAGGCGGCAAGCACGATGTCGTTGAAATGATCAGGGGTATTTGTGGTGCTGAAAATCACGGTTTCCAATAAAGCCGTAGCTTGACGCAGTATGCACGGAAAGCACTCGACCAAGTGAGCAGTCCAGCTGAATGAAGTTGTTCAGGGTCTCGACTGGGGCTGCGGCCCCATCGGCAGATCAAGTGTTACGGCGAATGGATCCTTCGGGTATTACTGGAACGGGAAGAGATTTGCAAAACAAATTTGATAAAAATGTCTAGCTCCAACAGATAAGTCGGGCCGGGGATGGCGCATGGACAGCAAGGGATATGTAAACGTGCATAAGTTGCAGCAGAACTAACAACCAACATCCGTAAAATTTTATCTCATGGGGGCTGAAGGTTACCTCGCCTACGAATTGGCTATTCCCTAGCCCTGGGAATTCAATTGTCTTGGCACATGTTGCCGTCTAACCGTCGCCCTCGGTCCTGAGCTGCGTCCAAGCACCTTTGCGACAGCTACTGCAATGATGCAAGCACGGAACTGCATTGCGGCTGGTACCTGCAATTATAAAATTTAATTTAAGCTAAATGACTCACTCTAACCTTGGTGTCTCATTTCCATACCATCACATGTCGACATGACTCGTCCCGTCCCTCTTGTGCTTTCACTAACTCACGTTCACCCCCAACCAACTATTTTACTCAAGCTTAGTTTTAGCACCGGCTACACATCCTTCTCTCGTCTCTCTAGGACAAGACTTCTTGCCCCGGTCTCAATTGTCTGAGCCTTTATTCACTGGCTGCGAAAATGCGGCCTATTCTTTTCTACCCGGCCATCATTGGTGGAGTGTTGTCGAGCGTTATCTCAGGAGCGACAACCTGTACTCAGTATACAGTTCAAGAGAAAGACACCTGCCGTAGCATCACCAAAGCATCCAAGGTCACTTACGCTCAGCTTCTGTCGTGGAATCCAAGCCTTGACGTCACTTGCGGGTAAGTGTGAAGGATGCCATGAACATTCCAGAGCGCTAAGCATATATATAGAAACTTGAGCAAGCAGAAAGATGGCAAGATCTGCATCAGCAATCCGCTTGGTAACTTTGCTCTTCCCAGCAGCTCAAAGCCAGTAGCTACTCTCATCACTACAGAAGCGTATGTAAGATTTGTCCATCGCATAGTTTATAGACTGACAGTTGTATAGCCCTGTGCCTTCTCCAACTGGACAAGGTACTAACGCCCATTGTGGTGAGTGGTATCAGGTAGCTCTCGGCGACGATTGCTCGATGATCGCAACCAATCACAGCATTACGAGGAAAGACTTGTATGATATCCCTTACTGCTTCCAAATTTCTTCATGAGCTAACCTAATGCTTTGCAGGCTGTTTCTGAACCCAGAACTCTTCGACAACTGCACCAACCTGCTAGCCGACGTCTATTACTGTGTCCAGCCGGTTGGTTATATTTCTACATATCCCGGATATGATGGCTCCTCTACAAGACCGCCCATCAAGCCCGTGTCCGCCACAATGCTCCCTAATCCAGATCGCCCAGCAAAAACCAACAGCTCAAATATTCAGATAATTCCTATTGCTAACGGAACTCGTCTAGACTGTTACAAGTAGGCCATGCACATTTAAAAGACACTTCTTTGATGGCTAACTACGGTTTAGGTACATTTATTTCACGAATCTGACCGAAAGTGCTGCTGCGGATTGTTGGAGTTTAAGCAGGCTTTTTGAACAATCCCCACAGGTAAGGTCATGCCTAAAGCAACTGGTACTGGAATGATATAATGTACTAGGTCTGACAATCAACAGGACTTTATTCTCTGGAACCCGTCATTAGCAAGTTCCAAAGATACAGAGACATTTGCTTTGACAACAGCCAGCCCTGTAGCAAACCCATATGCTTATCCATGCACCGTCTCAGCCAACTCGTCATATTGTGTGATGCTGGCCTCCCCTACACCAGGTAAGTATCTTTCTCCAGTATATAGATGTCCACGGCGATGCTGACTGGTAGCTTGTATAGAGCCGGAACAAGATTTCGTACCTCCTAGCCCTCTTGCAGCTGGAACCCCAGCCAATTGCACAAGATACCATCAGGTTCAATCCTACAACACCTGTGAGAACATCCTGGCTCAGTTCTACCTTGATATTGAACAGTTCTATGCCATGAATCCAACAATTGGTAAGGACTGTACTGGGCTTGCAATGGGTACATATTATTGCATCTCAATTTGGGCAAACGGTCGTCCGTCTCCAGTCCCTGAGGACGAAGACGATGACGATGACGATGACGATGACGGTCTCACTACGTCCGTTGTTTCCAGCACCAATGTCGCTTCCGTCACAGGCACAACGGCATCCACACCGTCACCCATTCAGACTGGCATGGTATCGAACTGTAACAAATTCTACAACGTGCAGGAGGGCGATGGCTGCTGGGCCATTTCTAATAACAACAACATCAATCTTGATGACTTCTATAAGTGGAATCCTGCTGTTGGGAAGGACTGTTCTACTTTACAGCCCAAGTTCTACGTTTGTGTCGGGGTTCAAGCCAGTAAGACGTCAGTCTCAACTCACACAACGACTCATACAACGAAAACCTCGACCTCAGGTGGCATCCCTACACCAACACCGACGCAAACTGGTATGGTTATGGGCTGCAAATCGTTCTACAAAGTACAAAAGGGCGACGGTTGTTGGGCCATTGCGAACAACCACAAGATCAAGCTTGACGATTTCTATAAGTGGAATCCTGCTGTTAAGACTGATTGCTCTGGACTACAGCCGAATTACAATGTCTGTGTTGGTGTGTAGATATGCGTTTCATATCGCATGAGTGTCTGGGACCTTAACTATGGGTATCTTTTATTTCTTCAAGTAGTTAGTTGTATTTTATTTATTCCATGCCAATTTTGCTCCGCATTTAGTATAGCCACACAGGTGTTGATGTAATAAACCTCGCAAATTGCCGGTCACGCGCAGGGTATCCACCCAATACATAAATAAGGACAAGAATGCCCAGTTTTGATCTTTAAGCACTCCATCCTGACAACCCATCTTCGAAAAAATGGCTTCTTTAACGCCAAATGTTTCTATTATCCTCCTAAAGTTACCTAAAGAAATACAAAACGCTATCTATGATTTTTTGGAAAGCGATGACATCAAGAACCTACGCTTGACATGCTCGGCGATAGCAAAGCTTATCCCTCTAAGTTTCGACCGTGTTTTCATCTCAGCCAACTCTTTCAACCTTAAGGTTTTCCACGCAATTGCAGACCACAATACTCTTCGGTATCAAGTTTCTGAGATTGTATGGGATGATGCGCGCCTACGCAGTGGACCAGAGCTGGAAGAAGAGCGAGAGAATTATCGACATGATGGCGACCGTGCAGTAACTGAAAATGCGTGCCCGCTCTGGTTTAAAATGGGCACCCACTATCACTATCAAGACCGTGGAGACTTCCCTTCTGATTATGGGTTTCCTGATGATCTCTTGAGCCTGGATGAGTCTTGGGCTTACTATAAAACACTACTAGAAGACCAGCGCCAGGTTATCGCATCCAATGCCGATATTGAAGCTTTCAAGCGTGGCCTGCGACGTTTTCCCTCCTTGAAACGAGTCACCGTCACACCTGCGACTCATGGACGCTTAGGAAAGCCACTCTACAGGACACCCATGATCAGAGCATTTCCTCGCGGCTTTGATTACCCTTTACCTGAAGCATGGCCTTGCTATAAACGATCAATGCCGATTGATGCGCTTCCATGGATGTCTCAGGAGGATCTCCCCTATCAGCAGACTTATGGTCGAGAATGTACTGCTGAGGCTTACAGAGCCAGATGGCGAGGGTATCGGATGGTGCTGCGAGGATTGGTTGAGTACGGCAATCATCATGTCACAGAACTTAAGATCGGAGGCAATGAAATTCAGTCTGGGCTAAACTGTCGTGTATTCGACCAAAGGTGTGTCGAGTATGACGATCTAGTTGCCTTACTAAAGCGCCCTGGGTTTCGATACCTAAGCCTTGATCTTTTCACAGGCCTTCTTGAGCATTGGGACTGGGACTCATATAAAAGCGGACTTTTGCACGATGCATTAGCTGAAGCAAAGGATATCCAGCACATAAGTATATGCAGTACTACAGATACTGCCGAAGGGTATCCCCAGCAACTTCAACCAGATGAAATAGAGGAAAATCTAGTTCCACTCCAAACGATCTTTCCGATCGATCACTGGCCAAACCTTCGACATTTTGGTATATCTCATATGCTGGTACAGCTCGATGACTTGATACACCTTCTTGCAGCTTTACCACGATCGCCACGATCCGTCGAGCTTAGGCACTTGGCTTGGGGAGATGATCACGGCTACGATGACCTCATTCGTCAAATGCGCGATGCTCTCGACTGGCGCTCGAGACCAACAGAAGAGAGACCTACTGTACACTTGGTAGCTTCTGCCTCCGGCAGTATAGGGCAGGGAAGGTTTGTTGAGGTCGATGAGGCAGTCTCTTCATTTTTGTATGGGGAGGGAATCAATCCTTTCCAGGATAATCCACAGACTATTGAACCTGGATATGGGGGCGTCATGCGGGATATGTTTGACCTCAAGCTCAAGACTCCCTTCTAGCTTCCTAATACATAGCTCTATAGTAGGATTTTCTAACAGCTATTAAAGTCTGTTACTGAACATTACCTTTTGCCTTTTAATTTATCTATAATACTTTTATTAGACAGGTTACTTTTACACGTCGTGTTATTCTTAATGATTAGTCCTGAGTTTCGACACGATGCGGCCCATGTCCTCGCACTGCTTTCGGGTTCTCCATGCTGTAGCCAAGGAGATGGAACCGCCTTTGCCGAGTCCCTTGCTCCTTGCCTCGGTCGCCCCTACCAGAGCTGCCATCAACGCCCCGATGCGTAACGCCGTGCCGCCGTACTTTTCGAATTCCTGTCGGTTGCTGGAGCTGGCAACAGTGACGGCAGCGATCATGCCAGCGCAGAAGCCCACTGTCTCGACCTTGTTGTTTTCACCCTGCTGCTGCTTAACCAGCTCTGCCTGCATGTCTTGGACAGTTGTTCCAGTCGGATTGTTTAATCGAAACTCCAGATAGCGCCAGTATTGATCCAATTGGATAGCGACCATCAAAACGCCAATCCAAAGATCGGGTATCTCGGCGTCTGGGGCTAGCGACTCGACCGAGGCCGGGCCATGTCGAAACCAAGACGCTAGATCAGCCAGCAGACGATCACCCTGCATTGTGCTGCTCACTTCGGGCAGCTTCTCTGTCATGGCTTCCCAGTATCGTGGCAAGCCAGCCAAGGTCTCGAGAATCCATTCTCCGTTTGGCCCGTCCACAATTTGTTGTACTTGTTTTTTCAGCGAGTTCTTGGTTTGTGGGCCGATGTGTCCTCCGACGACGAAGGTTGTCGCCTCACGGAGGTTTGATAATGGTGTAGGTAGAGTGGAGGATGGTAAATATCCTCAGAACTCATAGAGGAGAACCGATCCGGACGCCCGTCATTAGATATGATATCATAGAGGAGACTTATGTCACTCATACCTTACTGTAAACTCTTGATGCCCGCCCATGTAGCAGGCTCATGATTATATGACTGAGGTCCTTCCCAAGGTTGCTGACGTCGTCCAACACACTGTTGCTCTTCATCCTCTCAAAGCTGATCGTCTTGATGCGGTCGAGTCCTCCAGCGAGATACTGAAGCCTGAGGCCGGCTCCTCTAGTCGATTGTCTCTGTGTAGAAGAGATTGTGCAACCGAACTCACGCTCCTCGCCCATGATCGCGCGCTTCATGGAAATTTAGATCGCCACCACATCCGGGCTACTGCCGTTAAACAGCCGGGTGAAACCGAACAGCTTCTGAATTCTCTCGAGGTAGGCGTCAGACCCGTACAAGTTAAGGCTCAAGCTCCGCGACCATCTCGTAATACACGGGCGTATTGCTGGACGCGAGCATCAGCCTGGGGTGCTTATGCTGCATCGTCTCGCACGATTCCTTGTGTTGGGAAGGTAGGTCCTCACGAAGTCATGGCCCGTCTTGTGGTCGCTAAGCTTCCCGTTGGAGTACTCGAGGTCCTGATCCAGGGCCGGGCAGCCAAAGATCAGGTAACAAAATCTGAAGCCTAATTCCTAGCTTCTTTGTAGTTGCGAGTGGTGCTTTTGTGCTAATTGAGGCTTTTTCTGTAATGCGTGGCATATCGCGCCTGAAGCCTTGTCGAGTAAGGCTAATTGTGCATCTCGGCGGGTTCACGCGGCCAAGGCGTGATAGGTGCTCTCGTACTTCCGTTGCAAAGCATTTGAGCTTCGGGGCCTCTCTAACAAAGCCAATGAGGGCCCGGCGACGCTCGGAGAATCGTTGGAGGTTGCGGGGTTCAGTATCTGTCGCGGTGACATTTGCTTCGGCATCATCCTCGACGGCGCGACAGGTGAAAGTCGACGGTTTAAGCTGTCCAGCAAAAGTTTCGAAATGTGCATGATCACACTATAGAGTATGTTGATCTATGTAGTAATAGGATTCAAGGGCAATGGCAAAAAGACAAGAATGAGTTGCTCAGTTGCTCAGTAACTTAGTAGATGTCGCCCGTCCAGAAGTGTCCTGTGAAATTCCTCCGCTGGGGATCCTTAGTGTTGTCTACAGGCTATGTCCAATGTCGAGTGCGCCTGAACCCGCCGGAGTGAATTTACAGGTTAGGCTCAAAGACAAGCATAAGGTTAGCGACTTACTGAGAGAAGAGCTTTGATATCAACTGCTAACTTGACTGTGATATTCAGTTCACTTGGAACGGTCATAATTATTCTACAAGCCAGTGCAATCACGTTGACTGTCGGGGTTGATGGTTACTACGGATCAGAATAACAGGAGAAGCCTTGAGCTGTATAACTTATCGACACGGCGTGACTCCCTACACTAGGAAGAGACAAAAGGCATGCGATTGACTGTAGATGGTTGCTTCGTCGGTGAATCCTGCCCATGCCCGTATAAGGCATGTTGCTATCAGATTTCGCTTGGCTCAATCAGCCATCTGTATGAAAGGTAGTACAAGCGTAACTTGTGCTAGTCTTATGAGATTCTTCCTCTTACTTATTTAATATACTTACTTATTGTCTATATTAATGTAAATTAAGGAAATTCAATCAAAAACACACTTAAAATCAATACCTATATTATGCCCCTATATGGATATATTGCGCCCATAGCGACGGCTTGTCTAGATGCTGTAACCGCACTTGCCCTACCGCGGCATGTAACGCCACCGCAGCAGCTCGATTCCCCTCTTTAATCACACCCAGCTTCGTTAGAAGCTCACTGTAAAAGATACCCGCAACTTGGGCGCAAACAGCATCGTCAGACGGCCACATAGCAGCAATTACATGGGCAAACCCCGCAACCTGAAATCCGCTTGCTAGATGCAGAGCCTCATCGGCCAGGTCGTCCACTTTGTTCTGCGCCGTCGAGCACGCCGACAGATATGCGAGCCATGAGCGTCTCAGACGAGATTCGGATACCTGGCGGACGGTGAGCCGGTCGAGGGTTGTGGCGGACTTTGACCCCTGTAGCGCAAGGTAGCTGTTTGAGGGGTCTGAGAGGTCTGAGCAGCCGTGGCAGGCAAAGTGCACGATGTTATGGCTTCGAAGCGCGGTGAGGACGGCTTTTGCATGGGGATGGGGCATTAATTTGACGGAGTCAGTCCGGGGTTCTTGGTCTTGGTCTGAGTTCTGATTTTGGGACTTAAGGGCGGCGGTGATCTGTTCCTTCTCGTTGTCAACTCCAGGGAGGTCTGTCATATCCGGTGTTTTGCGCATTGTGACGAGGAGCAGTGGCTGTTGTGCAGTTGCTTTCGGGTTCGTTGCCTTTTCACGGGCGTAGCCTAGGGCCTTAATGGAGGGGGTGTACGAGGAAATGATATATGTGTATGCGTTCTCCATCCGGTATCTGTCGTCTTTCGAATGGAGTCCTGCCGCATGAAAAGGTAGGGAGCTAGCCATACCCGTCCCTATCCACCAAACACGAGGAAGCTCGGCTCCAGTAGAGGGATTGCTGAGAACTCCCAGCTTGTCGAGTACCAAGCGAACACAATCTGACCATAGGGAGGCTAGAAACCGGCAATATCGCTTGTCCGACTGACTTTCCTTGTCCGGAGCAATACTTCTCGTATCCTTCGTAAGGCCCCAGGCGCGGTATTTCTGGACTTTTACCGCATGGAAGTTTGGCAAATTGAGAGGTGTAATCCCCGAAGGACGCACAATGAGTGCGTCGCTGCTGATATGCGTGACGTTCACAAAGACAATAGGGCCTTCCTTGGAATAGGGTATCAACTCTGTTGCGAGAGGTGGGCACAGGAACCGTTCAAACCCTTCTACTTTCCGAATGTCTCTTAAGCATCCTTCCAAGCTGGCTTCTGTTTCTTCGATGTCTTGCATGATTTCAAATGGCATACCTGAAGGCTCCTTGTGGCGCGATGCCATCATAGTCTTTGCTCGCGTCTTGCCATATCTGTCCGCCAGGCGAGGCTTCTTTTTGCGAAGTTCTGCAATATCCCGACGATTGTCGATCAAGTATCCGATGATTAGGCCTCGTCCATGCTCCAGGTACTCAAGAGCGCGATTCGGATCCCCATTCGCTGCGAGTATGAGGGAACAGGCCTCTGCAGCTAGCCCCGACGTCTGCATGGCAGCATACTGCTGGTCTGCTTGGCTTAAATAGCGGCTACATACCATGGGCAGTAGCCTCAGTGTGTCTTCGGCCAGGTCGCTTGCTTCGCCATACTGACATTTTGCCACGTATAATCGTATTGCTTGACGTGCGGCTACTACTCGACGCACGGGTGTGATGTTGCTTGACCGAAATGTAATTTTTGAATACTCAATTGATTTGGCTCTGTCATCTTCGCTCATTGTTTGATCGTACCGATCCGAGAGGCAGGTTGCAAGTGTATCGAGAAAATGATCGCGTTCCGGATAGCTCTTTGGGGTTGCATCAACAGCTTTATTGGCTGCTTCAGCTGCCTGATTAAGATCGTCGATATTTTTTGTGAGCTTAGATCGCGTGGCCAACGCGATAGCTAGGGTATTCAGACATGATGCTGTCTCCCAGGCATAATAACATGGTGAGGTGCTGTCCAAAGCCTTTTTCGCGGTAGCGATTCCCTTGTCCAGATCAGCTGGAATTTCCGTTTCTTCATACCGCTCCAAGTGTAGGATAGCCAAATTATGCAGATAGTTACGCATGTCCGGGTCTTTCTGCGGTGGATTATCAACAAGCTTCTCCACAATCCTGATTGCCTCGTCGACGTTCCTAATATTCTTCGTCCGGAGGAACCTCTCTCTGAGGCAGTGCGCCAGTGTCATCCATCGAGGGGCATGGGTATCTTGCCCCTCGTATTCGGTGGGCACCGAGTTCCGCGCAGCCTGGATAGCATGATTCAGCTGGGTCATGTTCCCAGTCCATGTATACTGCCGCACGAGGCCGTCAGCAAGATGCCACAGCCACCAATGATTTGCGGATCCATCATTCTGCGTATATTCGCTGGAGATATCGATTGCTTCTTCAATGTCATACTTCTGTCCGCGTTCCAACAGATACTGGACAAGAAGACTCTGTCGCCTTTTATAGAAGTACCCGTCACCGGATGCGTTCAAGGCTTCTTGCATATTCTCGATCGCGTCGTCTAAGCTCTCCTTCCTCCCCATTCGGTAGAGCTCATAATGGGAGGTGGCAAGATGTTCTAGCAGAGCATCCGGTGGTAGTCTGTACCTGTTATTATTGAGCCTACCCTCTAGCTCTTTGATAGATCTTTCAATATCCGCCATTGCTTTCTGGTTAATACCATTGCTGGTGTCAGCTGAGGTCTCCATGTTGAATCAGACTTGTTTCGACGACAACTTTGGCCCGAAATGTTGGTTATGAGTCCCGATGTCTGTGGGATCAATCTCCCTCCCTCCAGGGAAATAAAGGAGCAGCAGATACTTGTTATGGTCTGATTGGATGCAGTCATCCCACCCAACCTTGCTCTTTTCTGTCCAATCCAATCGCTGATTCTGATTCTGGGGCGCTCATGTTGCACTTCTCTCTTACTGCATGCATCGTTCAGAATGAGTCAGACAAAATGACAGCCCTGGTCAATCATTCAGTATGCGCGATTTTCCTCTGATGGGTCAGCTATGCCCTTTTGTAACCCCCTCCCATGTGCTGACCTCCTGGCATCGCATTTGTTGTCAGGCTCCTCCGCTCATCCCTTTCAGCTCGCCACGGCCCGCAAAGTTATGTACCCTCCCTCGCTCTGCCCGCAACTACAAGATTTCCGATAAGGCTACATCAACGCGGAATAGAGGTTAAAATAGCAACTATATATTCACCTTCGCTCTTAGACCTCCCACATCCACCAAGCCAACGACTTCAATCGGGCCAAATAGTCTACACTGGAGGTCAATACCAATGGGACTCCTTCACAACGCTGTCCGCCGCAGCGACCTTGACGAAGTCCAAAAGGTCGTCGCACGCGGAGCAAACGTCAACGCCATCGATAGCAAAGGATACACGCCGTTGATGGTCGCCGTCGAGATCGAGAACTACGAAATCACAGAGTACCTGCTTAAGCATGGGGCAGTGAAGTCGATCGGCCACACAAACCGTAAGGGGGAGACGGCGTTCGATCTAACCGAAGATGATGATATACTGGAGCTGCTGAGTAAATACGAAGAGGAGGGCTTTCAGTATGAGAGTGACGGTGGCGGAGGTTATTTTGGTCCGGTATGTATCGGATGATTCTTTTATCTTTCTGGTTAGGTTTAGTTTCTGACGATTATGGGTGATTGCAGAGTGTGCCGGCCCCGGATGGGAATATCTGATGGTGCGAGAGGCCTGGCGCCCCTTGGTGGTGTGGGTGAATCTTTTTGCGTCATTTTCATCTGCGCGGAGCACTTTTTCTGCTTTGGTCTTCTTTGTCTGGGCTGCTATAAGGAGGTTCGACAATTCAGTACCGGTTGGTATCACTCTTCAGGGGTGTTTCCCACGTTGAATGTAGCTTTAAATGGGTGACCGTGATGGAATGTCCGGAGCTTAGTGTCCGAAGTGAGGGGCAGATCTCCTCACTTCAGGTGCGGCACGACCCATACAGTATACACAAACGGGCAATTGTATTCTAGCTTTATCTATCTGCAGCTTGAGGCCAGCCAGCCACAAATATATGGTCCTCTCTGGTTTGTCAGGCAGCGTGTAACCCCTGCTGGGGCGTGCGGGTCTCGATGAGGGATATGCGGGTGTTGCGGGGGGATGCTAGATACGCACGAATACCATGGGGAACGTGTATCAAAGTGCAGACTAGAATGTGATGGTGTTATTTGCTTCTTTGAGAAGTCTTTCCGGGAGGGTTGGTTTATTCCCCCTCATTTTCTGGGTATAAGCATAGTATTGTAATAAAGGAAAATGGGGCCCATTCCCAGTCGCCAATGTCACGGGGGACTTACGTATAACTAATTTAGAAGTGTGTGTGTTTATGTCAGTTAACCACGTTAGAACTAGACCTATTAAGGCACTGGCTGCAGGAACCTTTGGTTGCGCGACCGAGGCTCCTGGGCATGTTATTAAGTCTCAGAGTTAAGCTTTTGCGGGTATATATGTCTCAGAGCGTTATCTGCTTCTTTCATTTCACGCAAAACCCGGTACTAAAAAACGAAAAAAGAAATAAAAGAAGAAGAAAGAAAATAAATACAAGAACTGAACAGAAATGGCTCCAGCTAAGCGCGCGCTGATAATTGCCAGTCCCTTTGATGGTCTTCTTGGCCCCCTGGCTGACGCAGAAGCCATAAAGACCGTCCTACAGGACCAAGGGTTCGAGATATTCGAATGCTCCAACGCCAACGCTACTCGGAGAGGCATTCTAGACACATGGCAGAGCCTCATAGACGCAACGTCAACCGCGGATGTGGTCGTCATTTACTACTCAGGCCACGGAGCTCTCATCCGACCCAAAGACAACGATGAGAACTTCGATCTGAGCAAAGAGCAGCAAACGGCGGCGTCGCCATTCCAGATCCTCGTTCCCATGGACTACGACCAAACAACCGCCACCGATTTCCGCGGGATCCTCAACCTGGAAATATCCTACATGCTCCGCAAGACTACGAGCAAGTCGGAGAATGTCACTGCCATCATCGACTGCTGTCACTCGGGAAGACTCTTCCGTGATCCCCGGGCAGCTCCTGGCGTTGTGGAAGTGCGAACCAGGAACCTCCCTGAGATCCGCTACCACGTCATCGCAGACTTTGTATGGCGGCTCAAAAGGGAAGGACATTTTGAGGGAGAGCTGGATGTGCTAGGGAACCCGCATGTGGTGCGCATCGCTGCCTCGACAACCAGCGAATCCGCCATGGAGTATTCCACCGTGGACGGGAAATGGCGAGGCGCAATGACAGAGGCTCTTATATCAGCTATGAAATTAACTAGGGGGCATGATGTGTCTTGGAGGACGATTCTTCTGCACGTTCAGCGGCTTGTCCAGTCGAGGTTCCCGATGCAGCACCCGAGGGCTGAAGGGCCAGTACATCGCGTACCGTTCGCCATGCGACATGTCCCTCCAGCTTCATTGCAGTATCTGAATATCATTAATCAGATGCCGACTCTGCACGCAGGAAGTGTACTGGGTGTACAGGAAGGGAACGTTTATTCCGTCATGCCTCTTGATCCAGAAGCCATGACTTCTACCAATGAGCTCCCAGAGGCTGTTGTCATTAAGACGACAGGGTTCAGTTCTCTCGTCGAGCTGAGTTACACACCATCGTGGGCGAGCTTCAGTAGACAGGGTGCGCTGGCAGTCTTGAAATATGACAAGGTCACAAAATTGCCAGTCGTCCTACCATCGGAGCTCAGGGGCCTTCGGGAAGCTGTGCAGCAATCAAAGTACCTGCAATGTGACGCCGTTGAGGATTCCATACTCGCTACATTCCAACATGATACTGAGGGTATTGTTACTCTGTCTACACCCAAGGGCATTCGCATTGCATCACAGCAAATCCAAAACGTGGAGGAGGCTCCAAGTCACACATTTACGGAGATGATCAAAGTCGCCGAAAGGCTTGCAAGAGCCCAGCGGGTGGTCAATCTTCAGCGCCCATCAAAACAGGATAAATTGACCCACAACGTAGCCATCGAAATCGGAACCGCAAAGGACGGTAAGCCAGACCAAGTATTCATGACCGGGCCCAGTAGCACTAGTAGTATCAATCTTACAGAAGGCGACCGGCTCTACATCCAGATGGAGAACACTGGACTCAAAACAACCCACGTATCTGTCTTTGCCATCAACGCCGCCGGTGAGGTTTCGCACATGACGCCCAACGATCGAACCGGCTATGAGCTTCAGCCCGATGATCTTGAGATTATCGGGGACGCGGGCTTTGACTATATCTCCGGGACGGAGCTGTCATGGCCAGACGGGATTGAGCGGGTACCAGTTGACGAGCAGTTCCTTGTCCTCTTCACTAGCTCGCCTGTTGACCTGGGCGATCTGGTGGACTCGGTCAATTATGATCTCTCTGCCTCGCGTACTGCGCCTCCTCCTGCAAAGCCAGTTAGGATTCACTATGATATACTCCATATCTCATACACTCTTCATCCATTATTGGCGGAGGCTGACGCTATTTCCGCACACACCGGTGCTGAAGATAACCAGGAGAAATATACCAACCTCGTTTGGCAGCCCGTTGACAACAACCAAGAGCAGGGTATTGGTGTTCCAGCAACAGATCTTCCTGGTCCACATGAAGTATTCCCAGAAACTGAATTGGACGACGACCCAACTTTGGGTCCCATAACCGTAGCTTCAAGGGTACGTAAGCCACGTTCATCTTTCTGCCCATAACCAGATGTTATCCCCCGCGTCCCCTAACCCCTACTTACCGTGTTGCTAATCTGCAAACTCGTGCGCCGGCCTCAGAGTCTTCTCGGAGCACTGACACGACTAAATAAACCACGTTGCGTCCGAGTCGTAAACGAACATGACGAAGAAATCACCGTCGTAATCTCCAAGTATGCCCCGAATCGTATTCTTACAGGCGTCGGTTTCAACGCGTCTGCCTCGGGCGCAGGAATTGACATCACTGCGACTGTTCGTTCGCCTATCCTCCACGAAATAGAGAAAAACCTGACTAACATCGTGGTAAAACACAAAACAGACATTCTCCGGCCCAGCTACAAAAAAAATCCTCTCGGCTCGCGGGGGTCAGAATGGTGCGTCCGAGGGTGTGTTCCCACTGGCGACGCGCAGGGAAGGGTTTGGGGTGATTACTATCTTTACGGGTGCTGAAAAGAAGTTGTTTGTCGAGAATGACCGTGTACCTTTGGGGTGTACGGCGTATTTCAGGAACTTGCCGGATTTACATATTGTTGAGTATGGCGCAGACGACCAACACACATAGCGTTTCGGTTAGGGAGAGTTATAGGAAGTCCTTTATTCTATTATTATCTCATCATATAGTACTATTCATGAGAAGGCAGGCAGGGTCTAGTAGTGTGTCTGCGGAGTAGATAGTGGATTAAATAAATTAGCTTCAAGGCACCTGATAGTTGTTAATTAACCTATATTATAGCTCCTCCCAGAGCCTACATTTAGTAAGTCTAGCCAACCATGCTTTTAAAAGGAAAGTTTACATAAGCATATATTAAGTTATTCAGTTTCGTAGATATAATTAATTCTCTAGAAAAGGCCAGGGGCAGGGCACTACCTTGCTATAGCACTAATAAGTTATATTATATAACTTATGCCTCGAACCCTACTCTTCTAGCTATCTCAGTAGTATTAATTAAAGAGAATAATAATTATATTATAAAAGAGGTTTACCGATTTAATAATATAAATATAAAGACCTAGAGACTTTTAAAAATTTATATTAAAGTTAAATAAAAGAAGCTAAACTGCTACTATAGTAAGCTAACCTTAACTGTATATGTAGTAGCAGTTGTATTTTACCTATGTAAGAAATAGCGAAACTAGAACAGCTTTAGAACCAACTACTGTCTTGTCAGACGTCAGAGTGGAGGAAGACTCATAAGGAAAACCTAACGAGAGTTTAGGAAGAGAAGTACAAGAACATGTCTCATGAGATAGCTTGCAGTGCTGTTTCAGCTACTGAGAGCAATAGTGCCCTGGACTATATCGAGCGCCGACTAGCGCTTAGTCGATCACTGGTCCGGCCCGGCTCTCAAGAACGACAAAGCAAGCGGCGAAGGCAGTCAGCCACGTTGTCAGTATAAGACGAGCTTGACCAGTACCTGTCTGAGCCGCCAGTGGACAACATCGCGTGCAAAGTCGATACGATTGCTTGGTGGAGGGATGTCGGAGCGGTGCGGTTTCCTCGGTTATCTTTCTTGGCTGTCGACTTTCTCACCATTGCGTCATCTTCTGCTGAACCAGAGAGTGGTTTCAGCAGTTGCGGGAGGATGGCGACACCGCTTAGGTGCCGCCTGCGACGGCATATTGTGGCCATGGCCCAGTGTCTTCGTTCATGGAGTAAGGCTGGGATCGACCAACTAGCTCTGCCCCTTGTCTCCTTGAAGGGGACAGTTGGAGGCAGGTTATTCAGCTAGCGAGTAGGATGAGGATGGATAAGGATACCTAGTGAGAACTACGAGTGATCGATCGATATTAGTCGTCGATCAATCTACCTAAAGACTTCAGTCCATTTACTAAGCTCCATAGACTTAGGACAATCCTAGCTATAATTTTACAGTATATCTAGCATAACCCGAGCTCTAAACTTATAATATATAAGTATAAAAGTCTTTTAAAGATATTCTATAAGTAGATAC